GGAAAAAACAATTTTTTTGTAAGCATATTTCTTGTCAGTTTATCGATAGCTACCAACAAACCAAATTTCAAGAAAATCTGAGACTATGCGTGCCGCAACTTGGTTGATGGTTACAGAAAATTGCTATTAACTTGTTGGATAACTAAATATAGATATGAAGCGTGTGGATACAATCACTTCCAACTATTGAAAAATATAATCGACAAAAAATATGATTATCTTTATGTTATTCGCTTGATTAATTGTCAAAACATAAAATAAACAGTCATTTTACCAGAAATGGATAAAGCTAGATAATTTATAAGAAATAGTGGATTCGGAAACGATAATCAACTTGCGATAAACGTCGCGCGTTGATTATCGATTACGAATCCACCACTTCTTACAAATTCCCTAATACATATTTAATATGACTCTTAAATATTCAAATTCAACAAGTTTCTTTAACTTTCAGATTTTGACCCGGTAGTTGAAACAAATTCAAAAAGAAATTTACGATACCTCTTTTTCAGTATCTTTTGAATTTAAACAAAATCAATAACAACAATGTCAATCTTATTAATCAAAATTATTTCAATTTACAAGACCATGTGGTGTACATAGAAAACCGCGATTTCTTACCAAATTTATTCCCCCTTTTCCAACACCCACACAATAGCTGAATATTGTATTCGGTATATAAAAAAAAAATCAGTCTTTGCTTATCCTTTATAATAAAATATTATGCTAACAGCTTCTATTTATGTGACATTGGATGCAACAATTGAAATCTCAATTGTTAAATATTCTCTTACAGCAGTAATGTGGCTTTCCATGCAAATATGAGATTAGAGTTCACACCCATTACCACAGCATTGTCGACGTTCTGGATGGTCCATGGTGTACATTTGCGGGATATCTACTATATCCTGAAATATAAACATAAACATGGGATAACGTACACAATATCCGTTTGCTTAGAAATAAAATAAAGAAAAAGAATAAAAACTAATGCTGTTCTTACTTGCAAAAGAGTGAAAATATGTAAATTAGGTTTTATAGTTAGTCCTTCAACAATGATCACACATTTCCTTTGCTTGACATAATAAATCAATGCATTTTGCATTAATGTTGCATTTCCTTCAAGCAACATTGACATCTGGAAGTTTCGATTTGTATAGACCTTTTTGGTTCTGATGTTTTCATACGTATAATTTGCTTCAGAAACCTTCGGTATCGAATGTTTCTGATGAAGGTTATAAGCCATATAAGATTATTTCATCCATTGTTTCGCGCTTAATTCAACATTATACGTTTATAGAGGCAAGCAAACATTGTCAACCACCCTCTTTTTAAATACCGAAGATGGGGATATGCAACAAAAGTTACGGACATTTATGAATCAACATTCTTGTAAACAGCATTGTCCTTAAAACATAACATTTTAATAAAAAAAAAAAACGTCGCTGTCGCTCTCTTTGCACGTTCAAAACTCTGTGATGATCCATAATTATAAATTGCCAGTTGCAAGGTACACTTTATGCCTTATTATGCACACCTTCTGTTTCGAGTGGAAGTGCACACGTGGAGCAGGTTCTGCTTACCCTTCCGGAGCACCTCAGATTACCCCAGGTTTTTGTGGGGTTCGTGTTGCTCAGTCTTTAGTTTTCTATGTTGTGTTTTTTGTACTGTTGTTTGTCTTTTGGTCTTTTTCTTTTTTTGCCATGGCGTTGTCAGTTTATTTTCGACTTATGAGTTTGAATGTCCCTTTGGTATCTTTCGCCTCTCTTTTTCAGTCTTGTTGACTTATTTGTAATTCTTGTCCTATTGATCATTATTGCCTTTTAGCCCACCTGGTCCATTATTTTGAAAACCGCTATGAATAGATGAAGTCTGACAGAAATGCTTAGAATGTTGACATCTACCTACCGACGTTTAAGGTCAAAACTGATAGACGATTTTTATAGGAGTTATTGTCCTTATAAAATGATGAATTTTACCAATTTGTTTCATTTTTGCCTTTTATCTCGAAAAATATAAAAGATACAGAGAAACTAAAAATAGCAAAAATGATCAACAAGATAAGATCTACAAACATGTAAGCATTGCCTAAATTGGCAAACGACTCCTTATTGGAGTAATTGACCTTTAATGACGATTTTTACCATTTTTTGGCACTTTTGCCTATTATCTTGAAAACTATAATAAATAGATAAACTTTTTAATTAGCCAAACTGATCAGCAAGACAAGATCTACAAATACGTCAGCTAGCCGAATTCTGCAGACAACTCCTTATTGGAGTTTTGGCCTTTAATGACGATTTTTACCAATTTATGCTTTTTTGCCTATCACCTTGAAAACTATAAAAGATAGATTGACGCTTTAAACGACAAAAAAAGATCAACAAGACACGATCTACAAATAAGTCAAATTTTGCTGAAATCGTTATTAGACTCTTTATAGGAGTTATTGCCCTTAAATGACGTTTGCTTTACTCCCTTTTGTTGTGTTGAACAAAAACTCAAGAAGATAGAGAGAAACTGTAAGCAGAAAGAATGATTAACAATACAAGATCAACAAAACAGTGATTTTTGTCAGGATTTCTATTCTAGTCTACAATGTTGGAGAGTGCCCATTGTTGAAGATGCGCATAGGCATAGGTGAGCGACACAAGCTCTGTAGAGTTAAAGTTTCTATCTATTATATAGTTTTCAAGATGAAAGGCAAAAACAAGTTAAAAATCATCATTTGAGGGCAATAACTTTTCTAAGTAGTTGACTGACGATTTGGGCCATGTTGACTTATTTGTAGATCCTGTCTTGCTGATCATTTTACTTTTCAGATTTCTATCCATCTATTATATTTTTCAAGATAAAAGACAAAAATGCAAAACAAATTGTAAAATCGTCATTTAAGTACAATAACTGATAAAAAGAGGCAACCATTTCAGCATTATGAAGTTATTTATTGATCTTGTACTGCTTACCAATTTTGTTAATTTAAGTTTTTATCTATCTTTTAAAGTTTTCAAGATAAAAGGCAAAACACACGGTAAATTGGTAAACATATCGTCATTAAATATATATCTTATAAGGAGTTAACTGATGATTTGAATCCATATTGATAGTTATCAAAGGTACCAGGATTATAATTTAATACGCCAGACGCGCGTTTCGTCTACATAAGACTCATCAGTGACGCTCAGATCAAAATAGTTATAAAGCCAAACAAGTACAAAGTTGAAGAGCATTGAGGACCCAAAATTCCAAAAAATTGTGACTTAGTTGTATATCTTCTCTTGCTGGTAATTTTTGCTATTTAAATTTCTCTATATCTGTGATAGTTTTCAAGATAATTGACAAAAAACGAAATAAAAGGGTAAAAATCGTCATAAAAGGGCAATTAAGTTGATTTCGGCAAGGTGGATTATTTGTAGAACTTGTCTTGTCTTGCATGGTCATTTTTGGTATTTAAAGTTCCTCTTTATCTATTATAGCTATGGCTAAAATGGCTGCGTTTTCACCTCAAAATTTACTCTGAGTACAGACAAACCTGTACATCTGGAAAAGTTTTCAGGCATAGCATGCCCTAGATAAATAAAAAAAACTTTACTGAATTTTGCAGTGCACTTCTTTTTCATTCTTACAGAAGGTGCAAAATAAACAAAGTTGGAAAAGAGATTTGAGAACTTCCCCATAGGTAATAATTGAAGTGAACTGTATTGATTGAAATGGACAATAGAGGGACAATAAATACCTGACAATAATTGGTGATTCAAACTGTTTCACTGAGTCGACCATATCAAGTGGTATTCAACTGTTTGTTAATTTTATGATCTTATGTAGGGACGAAAAAAGTGCACTGCAAAATCTAGTTCAGCTTTTAATTTTCTAAAACATAAAATGCATTTGAATTTAATTTGTCTAGCTCCTGCTATGCCTTAAAACTTTTCCAGATACACAGGTTTGTCTGTACTCGGAGTAAATTTTGAGTTGAAAATGCAGCCATTTTAGCCAAAGGGTCCACATGAACCTTAAACCCGACAGTTGTTTAAAGTTCCGTTATATTGACAAAATTAGGTGAGCAACCTAAACAGACATAATTGGTCAACTTGACAGTAATTGAGATCAAGCAGCAAAAACTATGTTAACATATATCACAGACATATAACACAACTCAGACAAACGAGGGTCTGGATGGAGTTTACAGAATAGAGAATAATGGGTCACATGTACAGTAAAATCGATTAAAACATGAAGAATAGAGAGAAATAGAATGAAAAGAATAAGGATAAAGAATAGAGAATAATTGTGTGCTAAAATATAAAGAATAGAGAATAATGGGCAAAAAATATAAAGAACAGAGAAAAATGACCTAAATAATTATAGAATATAGAAATGAAGGACCCCCATCCAGATCCTCTTAAACAATTCACACAAACGTAAAAATAAATTTGACAATGACGCAAAGGAAAGAAAAAGATGTAAGGATACCAAGTAGATACAAACATAAATAAATGGTCAAAGGTACTACATGTCTACATGTATCATTACATATAAAAGATAAAACAAAATCCATTAAGAACACAAGACATAAAGACTCAAACGCAATAAAGGCGGCACAATAGTTCGTTCCTCAAAGGTCTATGTAAGGGTAGTCGAAAAAATGTAAAGTTATTTAAAAGAGAGGAAGATAGAGATATTTGATGAAAAAAATGAATGATTTAAGTTGAAGAATCACTACACACTGAGTCCACTGAGTTGCAATAAATTATAAACATGCCTTATATAAAAGGAACAGTAAATGGAACACGAGTATTCAAGATTCTGTTTCAACAATTGACATTGATTGGTTTAGGAAAATATACATAAAAATCTTTGTTAACACTATCAAAGAAAGAAAACGTGCTTTCAATATGTGTGTAATTTCAACAGTAGTATACCAGTGTTCAAAAGTCAAAATTCTTATCTTCAATTGTTTACCTTGTCTGTAAAACAATTTGGACTACTTGGAATCGGAAATGCATTATTCCATACTTTTCCTTGTATGTGCATTTTGCAGGTCTGACAATGTTGGTGATTTAACAAAACGTGTAGATGTTCATGAAACGGAGATGACTCGCCTTAAGTCTGAAAATGAAATGTTAAAGGATATTATCAAAAACATAATGACGAAAATAACCTACTTAGAGGACAAGATTAACGAAATAATTCACAATAAGAGAGTCAGTACAACCAATCGTATGTAAATATATTTAAATTTCAGCATACACATGACTCGCGTATTCGCTTCAACACAACCTTTATTTGAAAGAACGATGAATCGTCTGTTAATGATATTTAATCCCTTAGACAATGTTGATGAATTTGGCTATTTTTAAGGCCTATTTAGTCATATAGCTCTCCACGTGTTTGGTCTTATACATATTTGGTTTTTAATTGTTTGGGTTTGATGATGATAAATCCAGAAAAGCGCCTCGAACACACGAAATTTTACGTGTTATTTTCATTTACCCTGCAAATGAAAAAAGAACGATATGTGATAAGTAAATCACAATTTTTGAAAAGTACTCGCTAGTCCACGAGTACTATTTTCATATGACAATTTTACAAGTTTAAACAAAATCTAAATATTATATATAATACAACGCCAGGAGCAATCATTTAATAAATTGTTTCAATGTGTCGCATGTTTCAAAATTCGTAAAATAACATATAATTACGTCTTTACAATTCCTAGACGGATACAATATTTTAACAAAATGAAATTCAGTTTAAAGACTTTAGAAGAAACCAACACTCATTTATTTGTCCTGCTATTTACCACTGGACGACATGTTATCACCAATTTATCATCCGATCAACACTTATACAAATACAACGTTTTAACATTATGCAGTTTATTAATCAAAAGTTCATAAAGACATTAATTTGCCATTACGTTTTTCCTTCTACAAGGATATAGATTAAATCAGGAATATCTGCAAAATACAAATCCACAATTTCAGCACTTGCATCAGTGATGGTGTTAACTGCACACTTTCGACGACAAGACCATACTTTTTACTGAAAAAGATATAACTGTGATATTTCTGTTGAAAAAAAATTATAACAACGAGCAAGAAACAAATATTTTTTAAACAAGTGAATAGTTCCTTCATAAATCTTTTTTAGTCCAAATGTAAAATAAGAAAATCAAAAAGGATATGATAAACACGATCTATTTAAAATAAACACGTCTGCCCAAAATAAATGGAAAAAAAACTATGCTGGTACATCACAACTACAGCCACTGATTTATATTAGAACGACTGACTGAGAGTAATCAAAAGAATAATAACGATCATTGCTTTTAATTAATTTTTGCCATACGACTTTTTCAGCTGTATATGTGGCTTTCCATGCCAACGTTGCAGGAAAAGTTAGTGTACATGATAATGAAGATCTACACTTCCAAACTGTCAACGCAAACCTTGGAAGTGCGTACAATGGAAGCACAGGTGTGTTCAAAAGTCCTTCTCGAGGTTACTATGTATTTTTCGTACATTTTCTCACTTATGCACCAAAGACGATTGAGGCTGTAATAGTTAAAAACGGCGCTTCGATCCAAAACGTTTATGCAGGAACAAGAGAATGGGCCGGATATGGCACTGGATCCAATTTGGCGATAGTTGAATTAATGCAGGGAGATAGAGTATGGGTCAAAGTTCACAACAAGTATCATGACATGTTTGATGTTCTTGATGGGCTGTTGGGCACATTTGCTGGATTTCTTCTTTATCCTACATCTTAATAAAATAAAATCCTGGAAATGACCCTTGTTTGTTTATATGATTTATGCTATGTAATATTAAGACAGTAAGTCTTTGGTACATGATTTGCTTAGTTGTTATTGGCTTTCAGAAACTGCGAATACATCAGATCGGTACATTGTGTCTAAAGTGTTTTTGTAATTTTTGTTTGTGCTTTGTGTCGATCTGATGCTGCAAGCCTTTTCAACTAATTTTTATAGTTTGTTCTTATGTTCTGCTGTTACAACACTGTCCCAGGTTATGCATAGTAGTGAGGGCCGGCAAACATGTGTAACCCCGCCACATTCTGTATATGCCTATCCCAAATCAGGACCCTTTGAGTCAGTTGTTGTAGTTTGTTCCGTTTATCATATTTGTGTTTCGTAAATTGTTTTGTTCATTAATCATACCGATAGCTTTTACGTTTGATTTGTAATACATTTGTCATGTCGGGGCCTTTATAGTTTGCTATGCGTTATTGGTTTTGCTCATTGGTTTCGGAAAACAAACATAAAAATCTTTGTTAACAATATCAAAGTAGGAAAACGTGCTTTCAATATGTGTGTAATTTCAACAGATAAAGCGGTATAACATAATTCTTATCTTAAATTTTTCACGTTGCCTGTAGACAGTTTGGACTACTTGGAATCTGAAATGCATTATTCCATACTCTTTCTTTTATGTGCATTTTGCAGGTCTGACAATGTTGATGATTTAACAAAACGTGTTGATGTTCATGAAACGGAGATGACTCGCCTTAAGTCTGAAAATGAAATGTTAAAGGATATTATCAAAAACATAATGACGAAAATAACCTACCTAGAGGACAAGATTAACGGAACAGTTCACAATAAGAGAGTCATTACAACCAACCGTATGTAAATATGAATAAATTTTAGCATACATAACTCGCGTATTCGCTTCATGCACAACCACTATTTTGACGAACGAGGAATGGTCTGTTAATATATAAATAACACATATCTTATAGGGTGATAAAGCAGATTGCCACCTCGAGAAAGCATTGTCAATCGAAATGTCTTTTCGAAAGATAACAATCTGCTTTATCATCCTCTCATCTATGTGTATTTTAATTTATTCTACCGAATGTTCTTTTATTACTGTCTATTAACATTCAAATTGAAAGTAACAAACTATGACGTCTTCAACATCCGTATCCGTATCAGTATTTAATAAAGCGCAGAATCGATCAATTGTCTCTGTGAAGGGAAATCGAGATTTTGTCAAACGATAGAGAAAATTATCTCCCTCGTATTAACCAATCAAAATATGACATGATGTATAATATCTAATGCTATTTAATCCCTCAGGCAATGTAGACCGTAATTAAATTTGCTATTTTTAAGGCCCATTTTGTTCATGTAGCTCTCCACGTGTTTGGTCTTATGCATATTTGGCTGTCAATCGTTTGGGTTTGATGAAGGTAAATAAAGATAAGCGTCTCGAACGCACGAAATTTAAGTGTTATTTTCTTGAACCCTGCATATGACAAAAGAACGGTACGTTGATAAATTAAGCACAATTTTTGAAAAGTACTCGCTTCTCCATGCACGAGTACAATTTTTATTTGACAATTTTACAAGTTAAAAAAAAATCTAAAGATTATATATAATACAAGAAATTGTTCCACCTCGTTGTTAATTTATTTTTATAATCAGAAATATCAAAATTTAACAACGAGCATGGAACCATCTTTTTAAAAAGAAGTGAATCGTTCCTTTGAAAATATTTTATTAGTCCAAATGTGTAATAAAAATAACAAAAAAGATATGACGGAATCTCACAATTTAAAAAAAAAACCAATTCATGTCTGCACAATATAAAAGAAAGCAGAAAACAATTCTGGTACATCATGATAAGCCATGGAGTTATATTACAACGACTGACTGAGAGTTTTCATAAGAATAATAATGAACTTTGCTTTTAATTATTTTTTTTCATACGAATTTTTTCAGCTGTATATGTTGCTTTCCATGCCAACGTTGCAGGAAAAATTAGTGTACATGATAATGAAGTTCTTCACTTCCAAACTGTCAACACAAACCTTGAAAGTGCGTATAATGGAAACACGGGTGTGTTCGAAAGTCCTTCTCAAGGTTACTATGTATTTTTCGTACATTTTCTCACTTATGCACCAAAGACGATTGAGGCTGTTATAGTTAAAAATGGCGCTCCGATTCAAAATGTGTACGCAGGAACAAGAGCAACGGGCGGATATGGCACTGGATCCAATTTGGCTATAGCTCAACTAAATCAAGGAGATAGAATATGGGTCAAAGTTCACGACAAGTATCATGACACTGTTGATGTTCTTGATGGGCCGTGGTGCACATTTGCTGGATTTCTGCTTTATCCTACATTTTAATAAAGATAAATCGGTGAAATGACTCTAGTTTTGTTTACATGAATCATTCCAGGTAACATAAAATACTTATATAAAAATAAAAAGAGTTGTAGGGTATACGTTTTTGTGAAAGAAATCCTAGGACACGGATAATAAAAAAAAAAACAATACAGAGGACTTCATATTCCAAATTCATGCATTTTGGATATATAATAAATCGATACTAGGACTGTTGTTAAATTAATTGATCCGCAGCAGACGAAAAAATTAAATAGTGTTGTATATCAGCTCTTAAACATGTACTTTAGTTTTGGGTACAGGATTTTTTTTAGTTCTTACTGGCTTTTGGAAACTGCGAGTACATCAGATCGGTACATTGTGTCTTGGGTCATTTTGTTGATTGTTTTGTTTTTGTTGTGCACTGTGTGTCGATCTGACGAGGCAATTTTTTTTTATCTGATTTTCATAGTTTGTTCTTATGTTGTACTGTTACACTACGTTCCCATGTTATGGGTAGGATTGGGTGCCTGCAAACATGTTTAATCCCGCAACAGTCTGTATGTGCTGTTTCCATTCAGAAGCCTTTAGGACAGTGGTTGTCGTTTGTTGCCGTTTATCATATTTGTTTATCGTTTTTTGTTTATTGTTTTTTCATTAACCAGACAGTTAGTTTCTCGTTTGAATTGTTTAACCTTTCAAATAACAGCCAACAATTGCATTAATCTTGGTTATACATAATGTTTAACCGCTATGATTGATTAAACTCTCTGAACAATTGCAGAATCAACCGTTAACAAACGTACCAAATTTAAAGTAATATTTAACTTTTTTGTTAAATTGTCGGATGCCTAAAATAGATTTGAATCGTGTGGATACAATCACTTCCAACTATTGAAGAATAAAATCGACAAAATATATGATTATCTTGATGCTATTCGCTTGATTAATTCTCAAAACATAAAATAGACAGTCATTTTACCAGAAATGGATAAAGCTAGAGAATTTACAAGAAATATTGGATTAAGAAACGATAATCAACTTGCAACTACAAAGACAACCGTGATTTCTTACCAAATTTACCCCCCCCCCTTTTCCATCCAAACACAATAGCTGAATATTGTATTCAATATATATTCAACTAAGAAAACCTGTCTTTGCTTATCCTTTATAATAAAATGTTATGTAAACAGCTTCTATTTATATGACATTGGATGCAACAATTGAAATATCAATTGTTAAATATTCTCTTACATCAGTAAATATGGCTTTCCATGCAAATATGGTAGGACTTAAAAGTTAACATTATAATGAAGTGCTGCACTTCGATCGGGTCAACACCAACCTAGGGAATTCGTATGATGAACACTTAGGAGTTTTTAAAACCCCTACTCCGGGTTATTACGTATTTTTGTACATTTTTTTACAATTGAGCCAAAAAGTTTAGAGGCACACATAGAAAAAAATGGAGATGTAATCCAAAATGTCTACGCAGGAATTATGGGTAGAACAGAAGCAAAAGGAATTGGACACAAGTTATTACTACATTTGTGAAGTCCTCTCCCTTTTGATAACAATATCATCATTTTTGTAAAAAGAATTTAAGAAAGTTAACGTGCTTGCAATAGGTGTGTAATTTCAACAGATAAAGCGGTATCACATTAATTTTATCTTCAATTGTTCACCTTGTATTTAAAACGATTTGGACTACTTGGAATCTGAAATGCATTATTCCATACTTTTCCTTGTATGTGTATTTTGCAAGTCTGACAATGTTGGTGATTTAACAAAACGTGTAGATGTTCTTGAAACGAAGATTTCCTAGACGGATACTATATTTTAACAAAATGAAATTCAGTTTAAAGACTTGAGAAAAAACCAACACTCATTTATTCGTCCTGATATTTGCCAGTGGACGACAAGCTATTACCAATTTATCATCCAATCAACACTAATACAAATACACCGTTTTAACATTATGCAGTTTATTTATCAAAAGTTCATAAAGACATTAATTTTCCATTAAGTTTTCCTTCTACAAGGTTATAGATTAAATCAGGAAAATCTGCAAAATACAAATCCAAAATTTCAGCACTTGCATCAGTGATGGTGTAAACAGCACACTTTCGACGATAAAACCATACCTTTTACTGAAAAAGACCTAATTTTGATATTTCTGTTATACAAATACAACGTTTTAACATTATGCAGTTTATAAATCAAAAGTTCATAAGACATTAATTTTCCATTAAGTTTTCCTTCTACAAGGTTATAGATTAAATCAGGAAAATCTGCAAAATACAAATCCAAAATTTCAGTACTTGCATCAGTGATGGTGTTCTGTTGAAAAAAAAATATAACAACGAGCATGAAACAAATATTTTTTAAAGAAGTGAATCATTCCCTCATAAATCTTTTTTAGTCCAAATGTAAAATAAGAATATCAAAAAGGATATGATAAACACGATGTATTTAAAATAAACACGTCTGCCCAAAATAAATGGAAAAAACAAACTATGCTGGTACATCACAAGTACAGCCATGGATTTATATTAGAACGACTGACTGAAAGTTATCAAAAGAATAATAATGATCATTGCTTTTAATTAATTTTTGACATACGACTTTTCTCAGTTGTAT